CAGTTTTGTTCTGGATTGGCTTTTACACATCCTACCGATGTGCATGTGCTGCTGCAATCACGGGTCTCAGATTTCAAATTAATCTAAAGTATCTAAAAGCAGGTGCAACAATGCAAACACTTTACCAGTTGGCTCTTTCATTTAGAAGGCTGGACATGCATTGCTAGACCTGTAATATTGTGCATTGCAGTTTGTACCATTCATAGCAAAATGAGTGAAGTCTTTTGGGTTGATTTCAACAGAGTTTGGCTTTAGCATGTTGCTAATCTGACAATGCAATATTTTAATAAGCATAAAAATGTAGGCATCAAGTGTCTTGTTTTAATTAGATGTTTGCCGCAGTGCATTCTGGGATTGCCCTCTGCTAAAAGCATGCAACTTACTCTTGTGTGTGTGCATCGTATTATACGCTTACAAGATATGTCCTTTTACTTAATGTGGCATGTGTTTTGAATGCCTGTGTCTGTGTACGTTCCATGTTATTTTTGCCAAAGAGATAAATGTAGTCTGTGCCTCTGACGTTGACGTCGACTTTGCCAGCTTTGGGAGTTGTTTTCCTGGGCGCAGATGGTAGGAACAGAGTGAAGCAGGTGCTGGGTGAGGTTCGTCTGTGTTGTGTTGTTTTTCTATCCCAGAGTTCGTCCTAAAGGCATGGCTTCCTCTGCTGTGATCACCTGGTGAACAGACGACGGGGATGATTTTCACTGGCCGTCCATGTTGCTGGAGGTGTGATTTAGTTTATCTGCCCCGCTGTGAGACACTTTACTCTGGTAAATGTCTCATCATTAAAATGTAATGAGAACTAGATTTAGGGAGTGTTGCTTGCTACTGCCACAAGGCTAATGTATCTAAATGGTTTTCAGTATGTCAATATATGTTTGCTAATTTGTTCTGAATTATTATTTTGTTGCTCCTCTGGGTGGTTGCTAGAGTGTTGTGAAGAGGTTTTTGAGCACCTCCATTATTCACCAGGCAGAAAATTGTTTTGTACACCTGACTTTGGAGGCTGGGTTTAAAAGGATGTTTTTGAAAATATAGTGCATTTTAACTGTGAGAGATTAATATTATAATAAAATGCCTACATGCTGTTCATATTCTGTTATTTTTCATCTGAGTATTTTTATCTGAGTTCTCCTAAGACTGTGCTTTGATTGTTTGAGCTGTAGGTTGTGTATTGTGCATCTCCGTAATGGAACGGCTTCAAAAGATATTACTAATATACCAGATGGTCTCAGAAGTCTGTCATGCATTATGGTTTTGTTTATTCTTCATTATCTTTTAAACAGAATATTACTGGATGTCTGGAGACCTCTTGTTGCCTGGCCAGATGTTTGCTTGGGTGATGGCATGTTTGGCGCATGAATTAAAAACAAAAACAAATAATAATAATAATAATAATAATAATAATAATAATAAAAACACCACTTACTGTGTACTGATGTTTGAACATATTCATCTTCCTTGAAAAAAAGTGCTGTGGTGGTATAGCAGGGTGTAGTTACTGTATGGTGATACCATGGTTATTAATGATTACCATATGTCATGGTTTTCCATAGTACTCCAATGTACTTCAAAGAATTAAAAAAAAAAAAGTGTTAACATGGTACAATGTCCAAAAGCTATCCCATTTGATCTGTGATATTAAGCAATATAACTGGCCATTTTCTATTGTTCTGACATTATCCACAGCATTAAAAAGAATGAGAGGGAGAGGAAGAAACCATTTTTCCTGCACAGCTTGACTTTTGTTTTGCTGTCTGGTTTAGTGTTTCCATTTTCATTCATGAAATTTGCCAACCGGCCCCATTGTTTTCAAGCTTAAGACAACAGACAATGTTCACAGAGACTCCCATGAGTGTTTGAAAGTTTAAAGAATGGCTTAGCCTCTCTCATTTTTCTGCATTTAACTTTAAGGGAAGTTTACTTTCAGTGGCTGAGGTCCTGCTGGAGATTAATGAACACATTTGGTTGGGGCTGCATTGTTCCCATCAAAAATACCCATCTACAGCGCTATGATTTATGGACAGCTGGCAGTGCATGAGCTGTAATTTGAGAGGAGTTTGTTTTTCCTCAAGAAGATGGAATTTTAAAATTCTGAGATTAATAACACCACTCTAGTCATTTTATATAGTACTGCAGGGAAGAAAATAGAGGGTAGATAAGAGCGGAAGGTACAGAGCAGAATATTTTGCCTTTGGATGCCATGTGCAATAGCTGTGAGACTAGTGTGTGTTCAGAGGTTTTTAGTCATTGATGTCACTTCCTGCACTAATTGTGACTTTTGAATCTGTGCGTAAATTCAGCATGAAATGTGCAGGCGAGTATTATATCAAAACATTTGATCAGCAGTTGCTGAATATTCATCTTGAGTAAGTCAGCTTCTGATCCTTATTTTCTTCCTCTGCTTTGATATGCTGTGCAGTTCACATAGTTGAATTAACGCAGTGCACATTCTCATAGGAAAGACAAATCTCAAATGAGATCTCTATGATATCTTCATTTATTTTCTTTTTTTTTAATGAGAATAATGGAGAGCAAATGGAGAGTTTTTTTTTCTTTAGGCTCTTAATGTTTCTTGTGAGAAAAAAGGTGAGGTCTTAGATGTGTTTTCTTTAGAGTTGCTGAAGATCTCAGTGTCTCAAAATGAGCTCAGAGGGATTTTCTTTCCACCAGCACTAGCAATATATTAACCTCAAAAGTCAGTTTTGTGCCCTGGGCCATTGAACGGGCCCTGATACCCCCATAGGAGTGTTTGTGGAGTCATGGGTCTTGGTTGTAATGTATGATACATGTGTGTATATATATATATATATATATATATATATATAAAGCATTCTCTGAGCAATAACATTTTATATACAATTCCAAATCACACTGGTTTTGAGAGGAACTCTCATGGAAATACATGACACAGAACAGAATGCAGTATCACTTAGTATTCATGTCATTGTTTCAAATAATGTTTCATGTTTAGGCTAATTAAAAATATTATGCTGTTCACTTTATCTGTCAGCTCAGTACCACTCTTTTTTGAACAAAACTGCAGATTTAAGAGTATTACACACAAACGGCTCAAGAGAGAGGAAATCTTTGATGTCCCTGACACGCCATGAAATGAGACAAACCATGCAGCAATGAATCTTCAGCTGTTTTATGTGTATTGTACCTTTAGGCCAGACACTCGAGCTGGAGAAGTAACAAGCAAAGCTCAGTGGCTCCTTACAAGACAGTGAAACAAGAGCAACGTTTGAAGTCTGTGGCCATGCATCATGTATTACTGTAGTTTACCAAATACATTCTTAATTATATGCCCCTTGCTTACCTATCAAGAAAGACGTAGTCACGCTAAAGCATGACAGTTCAATTGATGGTCAACGGCAACTACTAATCAGGCTACTACAGCTTCTATTTACATGCATGGGGAAATACCAACACCTCGGAAAGTTTACTAACTTTCACATGTCAAATCACTATAAAATCTGACAAAATTAGCTTGCTAGCATGAATATCAACAGGTTGATCAAGTAGGACATTGTCACAGATGAACATTCCTTTTCTGGGTGTCCAATACTGCTCTTGAAGGGTCACTGTCCTGCCTAATCCTAATTAAACAAACTTGAACCAGCTAATCAAGGTCTACATGATTACTAGAAACTTCCAGGCAAGTGTGTTTGTGCAGCTTACTGCTAAACTCTACAGGACAGTGGTCATTCAGTAGCAGGTTTGGACACCCCTCTTCTTATTTGTGGGTGCCCAGTCCTGCTCCCGGAGGGCCAACGTCTTGTTGAGTTTAGTTCCAACTTGCACCAACACACCTGTATGGAAATTTCCAGCACTCTTCAAGACTTGGTTACATGGTACAGGTGTATTTTATTGATGTCATACCTAAACATTGCATGACATTGACCTCCAGAAACAGGAATGGGCACCCCTGTTCAAGTATAACTGGGTTCCTAAAGATTTTAGCTCTAACCAACTCCAACAAACTTGCCTAGAAAATTCTAGTGAGTTTAAAGACATTAAGCTTGTTTGAGATGCATCAGCGTTGCGCAGACCGATCGGCATATGACATCAGAGAGCAAGAGCAATTCAAAATAATAAAGAGTCGCCTGCTCTCCATTCGCTCTCGAGGTACTTTGGTGTCATACGCCGATCGGTCTGCGCAACGCTAATGCATCTTGAACAAGCCTAGCAATACAGAGATTCAGGTGTGTTGAATTAGTGTTGGAGCTATACTCTACAGGATAGTGACCCTACAGGAGCAAGTTTAGAAACCTGGGCATAGGACTTCAACAACATTCTTGTCAACCTATCTGTACCCTCTGATTTCAGAGGTAATTATTGGTTAGGGTTTGGGTTGAGTTCGGGTTAGGACAGCAGTGTTGTTCCAGGTCCAAGAAAAACTATGTTGATTTAGGAGCACCTGCTTTATGGAAAATCCTGGTGACCACTAACCTTCAGAGTTTGTTTATAACCCTATTAAAGCACACCTGAACCAGCAAATTAAGGTCTTTGGGATTTCTAGAAACTTCCTGGCAAGTGTGTTGGGGCAGGTTGGAGATAAACTCAAGGGCCCAGTTTCACAAACGGGCCTTAACTTAAGCCAGGACTAGGACTTAGTTAAATTAAGATATTTAAGCAGCTTTTATAAAAAAATGCCTTAGAAGAAAATGTTACAGTTGTGCATCTTAAGACAGAAAAATGGCACTGACATATTTTTAAGTGCAAGATATTTTCAGTTGAGACAGCTCAAACATGCATTTTAGTCTGGGACTAGCCTTAAGCCTTATCTGTGAAACCGGGGGTAGGAGTCCTCTAGGAGCAGGATTAGTCACCCCTGTCCTACAGCCTCCTGGAATGCTCCCATCAATTTTCAGATTGGTGTCTCCTCATAGAGTCTTGAGCAGTTAGTTCATTGTTGAAATGGTTGTAATTTTAGAATAGTTCATGGTGGGGAAATTTGGAATTCTGATGTTTCTCTCTCGTCCTTTCTCTTCCAGGGTGGTCTGATTGCTCTCCTGTTACTTATCCTACTCTTCACGCTGGTACTCTACACCCGTCAGCGCTGGTGCAGGCGTCGACGTGCCCCTCAGAAGAGTGCAAGCACTGAGGCCACACATGAGATTCACTACATCCCTTCTGTTCTTTTGGGTCCTCCGCAGAGCAGGGACAGCTTCCGTGGGCCCAGACCCCTCCAGCACAGCTCCGTCATCGGTATGCCTATCCGTGAGACACCCATCCTCGACGACTGTGACTGTGAAGAGGACGAGCAGCCTGGACATCTGCTAGATGGGAAAGCACATCTAGAAGATGACTTGTGCAGCCAGGGGACCCACAGCGTGAATAGCTTTGGGAAAGGGATGGGAGAGGTGAACCACAAACACAGTCTGGATAAGAGAGGTGAGAGCTTCATCATTACTGTGGCACTGTCTGTTGTATATAAGTTACAAAAGGTATATTTATGAGAATACATGTGGACAGTTGAGATGTTTAGATCTGATTTGAGCATATCTAGGGGGTTGATGTGAAGTCACCTGCCAACCATAGGCTAATTATAGCCATTGACCTGAATTCATTGTAAGACATAGACTGAGAGAACCAGGCAGGAGAGAGAGAGCCATTGACTCTTAGGTGATGAGTCGGTTAGATTTCCATCCCAGGAGAGAACAGTCAAGGCCAAAGTGTCTGATTACAAGACGTATATTCAATATGGACTTAACAAGTTCTGTCTTTGTTTTTGAATAGTGCTTTCAAGATCTACCGTTCGTTTGTTCATTCATTTAATAATATATGCATATTGTTTTATCCATTTGGTCTCTGTGTTCAGTAAGTATAGAATGCCCCATTTAATAGTTAGCCTGCAGTGATATTTTTTATGATAAAGCAAAACATTAATTTATTACTGTACAAAAAAACATTATTTGTCTTGTTTATAAATTTCTCTGCTTCCGAGAATTGTACCCAGTTTGATTTGTCAGTAACAGAGACATATGAGTTGCTTAACAACATAGATTAAATGCATTTTGCATTTTATTTAGTCATTAGTTATGATTACTGTCTTGATGCACTGTAATTCATAACAGAGTCCTCAGTGTCATTGGGGGAAGAAAAAAAAAAAGACTGAGGGCTGATGAGGGTGCTTGAATCATCAAATCTGGCCTCATGTTAAGTAGATCACAAATGGTTGAAAGGTCACATTGATGGGGTAACGCCTTCAACTCTACACTGGTTTCAAGTATGAAATGAGCTTTTCTTGTGAATTTTAAACAGTTAAATATTCTCAATTTATCAATGGGTGACCTCAGCAACTGCTGAATTAATCAATCCTAAGATAGAAGAGATGTAGAAATATGATGATGTGTTATTTAAGGAGGGTCTGAAATTGTTATTTCTGTTTCTGTAAGCCTGTATGGCAGCTGGTAAATTGCTACAATGAAGTCATGTTAATTAGTTAACACAACATTCATAATAAATGAATGAGTGAATAAATGAATGAATGAATACATAAATCAGGATGAAAATAAGTATTATATTTTAAGATAATATATGCTTATCCCCCACCATTTATTAGTGAAAAATGCATTTGCAGGAATCTCTGACTTTACATTTGCTTTCAATAGTTATGTTTAATAGTTACTTTTTACTTGTTTTATAATGTTGTTGAGCTAATGTTTATTGTGTTATTTTAGTGTCATCTCTGTTACCCTAAGGGTGTTTTTGTCTTTGTGCTGTCTGTACATTTTTATTAGCCAGTTCTTGGAAAGGCCGTTGTTGCTGAACTTTAATTATAATATTTTAATTAACCACCTGTATTGTTATAATGCTTATCCATTTATTGTAAGGTACAAAACAGATTTTAATTGTTAAAATACATTATTAGCCTACATTAATATTAACATAAACATTCCCAATATCCAATACACAGGTGCCTTCTTATAATTCCTGAAACATTGTGAATTTCTCGTCGCAAAGCTGGCAGTTTTTCACTGTAAATTGAGCAGGATTTGTCTTACTGCGTGTGTTGTTCTGTGTGTGTCTCTAATTGCCCACAGATGCACCTGGATTTAAGTGAAGGACAAGCATTGTATTTGTATTCTTGCATTAATGCATAGTCAATAATGTAATGTTTTGGATAAGATCTGTTGTTTACTTTATATAAGTGTGCAGCACAATTTAATTGGCTCTTGCAGTCTGGAGCCTGTGGCGCTGATATTGGCGCGTGTCTGTGGATGAAGGATGAGGATCCATCTGAGTGATGTTGACAAACAGAAGGAGGTAAAGGCTGAATAAATAATGAAGCACATTTTCCTGGCGTCAGGCCCACACTTGCTCCGGGACTTCCATATTGGATCCAGCTCTCCAGCTTTCATTATTATTCCAATTAATTCAGCGTAATATATAGGTGGGGACCATACATACAAATGTGTCCCTAAATCTGGAAAAATAAATCAGATCAACAAATCGCGTTGGAGCAGTTTTTTTTTTTTTTTTTTGCTTTATTTGGACAAATAGCACAGTAATGAGCCCTTTGTAAATGCTCCTCTAATTTCTTACAGCACATAAATAGTAAAAAACAACAACATGTTGAACAACATGTGTTTGAATGTGCAATTGCAGAGTAATTCAAATCTTCATAATAAAATTAAAAATTGTAGATAATACGCTTTCATTACTGTTTCCTAAAACACTGTTTCCTCGTACACTTCTAAGTTCACTTTCACAAGAATTACTGATACTTTTTTTTTAATAATCATGTTTTAAATACATTTTTTTGCATTTTACAAACATGTGTTGACTAATTGAAGCACAAGTATTGTATTACAATTTTAACAGTGATGTTAACTTTAAATGTAATATTGAATAACACATTTTAAATGTTTTTGTTTACTTCATCATACACATGACATACACGTTTCATTAGAAATTGTATTAAAGTACATTTTAGATTTCCATAAATGCTTGTCAGTACATCTAGCAGTACTTTAACCATATTCCAAAGACATTCAATTTATAACATCACACATATAGATGTATTTAAGTCCTACTATAGCACTTTTTCATTTAACCACACTGTCTGAAAACAGTTAGTTAACACTTAAGTATATTATTTATCTAAGTTGTGCTTAAAAGCATGCTAAAGTGTACTTCTTTTTCACAATGGATATGAAACAGATTAATGGCTAAAAGCCTATTTTGCATTTTTAGACAATATATAAAGGCAGATTTTTTACTTTGAGGTTGAGATTTGTCGCTATATAATGCTAAATAGTACATTTTGGCATACAACCCTTCTGTATATGCTGCAACACCCACCATAACGTACCCAGTTTTTATTTTTATAAAATTTGTATATAATTTTTTTCTTGTAATATGGAACAAAAACTAAAGTGGTGGTCTGTTTGTGTTTTGTTGGCCCCTCATGAGAGTGACAATATTTCTGCTTTCATAAAGTCAGCCTTCAGTTAATCACTGCACATAAATTATTGTCCACTGAACAATAAATGGACATGCCACACTAGTGTAATGCGGTCAGCTCAGTCAGAGAGGGGGCTTCTCTCTGCGGACAGAGGGGAGTCATTTGGCTGTTCACAGCTTCACTTCTGCATAATTGATTATGTGGGATATGAGTCTGTCCAGTGAGTTTTATCCCGGAATAATCGAGCTTCACTGTCAGTCATTTCACGGCTGGAGAGGAAGTGATGTCGCTTACAGCTGCATTCATACATTTTCAATTCATTCATATACATTTTAACCTAATTTTAGTTGCCAATAAACTGAATTGTTTTGGATTGTAAACAGTTCAGGGGACCAGTTTTATGAAAAACGACCCAACGGTGAGTGAAATAACAGCAAATAATAGAGAAAAGTTTGCCAAGTCATGTAAATATTTTACCCAGCTGAACAAATGAAGGCTGTCTTCTTGTTCTCCTGCTCGGCTCTATGGTCTGCAGGCAGACGGCCGGCCTGTTAAATTAAATGTTCCTGAACGCTGCGATGGGTCGTCAACCTCTCACTGCGCATGAGGCAAAGACCACAATTACCATCAAATCATATTTACCGTTCATCAAAGAGAGAGAGAGAGAGATAGAGAGAGAGATAGAGAAATAGAGGGAGAGCACCACTGACAACATTGAGATGAAGATGTGCTCAGTGTGTGTGTGTGTGCATATGCTTTGCCTGAAAAACAACGACTAAACGAATGCATGTCTTGATCTTGGAAATGTTGTGCTTCATGAAAACAAACACAGCGTCCTCTGGAGAGAGAGAGAGAGAAAAAAAGGGGGTGCTTAGTTAGCAAAAATATATCCTTAGGACGTTTTGCTAACATTCCCATTAAGTAAAAAAAAAATTTTTTTTTTTTTTTTTTGTATATTCTCTAAATGCTTAAAACACACAGTTTTTATTTATTTATTAATTTTTTTTAATGGTAAGGTAACATTTCATATTATAATTTGGTAAACATTAGGGTTAGTGTTAATTACACATTTTACATTTTTACATTATATTTATGTAATAGTTATGGTCCATTTATTACCTGTTAACCACTTCTTGGGCATAAACTTGAAAATACAGTTTATTATTATAAAAAATATCTACTTTTGTAAATTGTGTATGATATATATATTTTCCAAAACATGTTTTACTCTAAAACATAACATTTCTCTCAAATCAAATCATTAATCATTAACAATTAACCATTAACAAGCTGTGTTCCAAGTTTGAAGTTGATTTCATTTATTTATTTTTTTTTGTATATTCTCTAAATGCTTAAAACACACAGTTTTTATTTATTTATTAATTTTTTTAATGGTAAGGTAACATTTCATATTATAATTTGGTAAACATTAGGGTTAGTGTTAATTACACATTTTACATTTTTACATTATATTTATGTAATAGTTATGGTCCATTTATTACCTGTTAACCACTTCTTGGGCATAAACTTGAAAATACAGTTTATTATTATAAAAAATATCTACTTTTGTAAATTGTGTATGATATATATATTTTCCAAAACATGTTTTACTCTAAAACATAACATTTCTCTCAAATCAAATCATTAATCATTAACAATTAACCATTAACAAGCTGTGTTCCAAGTTTGAAGTTGATTTCTCAAAAATTAATTTTCAGCAATATTTTGTTTGGGTGCAGTACCAAATATTTCCACTAGATGAAATTTGCTGACATTTTTGACGTGAGTCAAGTGTGACTATTATTTTATTTTTGAAATCATATCCATGATTTAAAACGTCCTTACAGGAAGTTCAATGTCCCGGTATGGAACAAGCTAAAGGCAGGGTGTAGATTTTCCATAGAAATGCCAACAAATATAAACAAGAAAGACATACATTCAGATATACAGAAACACGCTTAACCCTCTGATGTTGTTCGGGTTG